GTGGCTCACGCCTGTAATCCCATCACTTTGGGAGGCCGAGGTGGATGCATCACCTGAGGATGGCAGTTCAAGACCAGCCTGACCAATATGGAGAAACTCCATGTCTACTAAAAATACAAAATTAGCCAGTCATGGTGGCACATGCCTGTAATCCCAACTACTCGGGAGCCTGAGGCAGGAGAATCGCTTGAACCCAGGAGGCAGAGGTTGCAGCGAGCCGAGATCATGCTGAGATCACACCACTGCATTCCAGCCTAGGCAACAAGAGTGAAACTCCATCTCAAAAAAATATATATAAGAAGAAAAAACACTTCATTGAAAGGGTCCAGGTGAGTGACAAGTATACAGGGATGTGCTCTAATTCGCCAGTAGTCCGTAATAATGCAAGCTAACACATTTCAAGAACAAGCATTTGCAAGGATGTAGAAGAGGTGCTGCTGGAGAGAATGAAAACAGTTGGAGCCATTCTAGAGAGCAATCTAGTTTTCCTGGTAAAATTAACTGTACAAAAACTCTTTATCCCACTAGCCAACTGCTGGGCAAATAGTCTAATCTAGTTCAGGTCCACAAGAATACATCCCAGAGTATTCTTTGTGGCAGCCAGGAGTTGTACCCATCACTGCAGGAACAGATAAGTAGAATGGAGTAAATATACAGGATGAATTACTACACAAATGTTAGAAGTGATGAATAGCATTAGAGCACTGTGCACAGAGAAATGTGAAAAATCTAAAAATCAATTCTCACTAGAAAAAAAAACGAATTTGTGGCGTAGTACCATTAGTGTAAATTTTAAACATACATATGACCTATCTGGTAGGGAATACACATTCATTTAAGAATGCATATCAAACAAACCTGTATGTGCCTATGAAGAATAGGAACGGGACGTATAGAGGGGGGACAAACCAAGAAATTAGTGTCACAGTAAATTGCTTTGATAATGTACTACGAATTGAAGTATGAAAAAAATCAATGGAAAATGAAAAAAAAGAAAAGAAAAAAAAAAACAAGAGTCATGCCTGTTTTTTTTTTTTTTCCTGGCCTCTGTTAATAAAAGTCAGTATCCTGGCTGGACACCTATAATCCCAGCACTTTGGGAGGCCGAGGTGGGTGGATCACCTGAGGTCAGGAGTTCAACACCAGCTTGGCCAACATGGTGAAACCCCACCTCTGCTAAAAATATAAAAATTAGCTGTTAGCCGGGCACGGTAGCAGGTACCTAGAATCCCGGCTACTCAGGAGGCTGAGGCAGGAGAATCACTTGAACCCAGGAGGCAGAGGCTGCAGTGAGCTGAGATTGCACCATTGCACTCCAGCCTGAGCAACAAGAGCAAAACTCCATCTTAAAAAAAAAAAAAAAATCCAAACAGAGGGAGTGCTGAGAGACGATCTAGAGCTGCAGTTACCACTCCAGGATCAGAAAGATGGGCTGCGGCCACTGCTGTTTGGAACTCAACACATGTATGGAGGGGCTGAATTCACAATTCTGTCCCCCAGGAGTAGCTGGCTTTCAGGGACACATCCAACTCCTTGTGACTGATTTTATGATTAATAATAACCCCATTGTTAACTATCTACAAATGTTACATTCTTTCAATTAATCCTCACAAAAATTCGAAAGGCTAGAATTATTATTTGTTTTACAGATAACTAAACTGAGCCTGAATCACTTCTTCAAGTTCTCCTAACGAAGAGTTGACATCCATATGTAGATGTAACTCCAAAGTCCCCTACTTGTCCCAATGTCAAAAGAGCAGATCCTTTCACTACTTTTTCTGGAAGAATACATGAGGAATTACTGTGTAAATGCCTGTCTGAGAAAGCTATCCAGGAAGGTGACTTATTCCCATTAGTGAAGTATCGTCACCTCATGGCTTCCAGGAATCCACTTTTCTCCACTGTCCAATTCATTACCTCCCTGTCTTGAGTTTTGTGAACAAAGCTGAAAATCTTGGTAGGGTATAACAAAATATATTGAGAAAGAACTAGAAATCAGCATGAAACCATGTTCTATAAAGGAAACATTTTCCCCCCAGCGATCTCTAAAAGGGACTCAATCATAATGGCTGCAATTTTGTCCAAAATACATGTGCTGGAGGGAGCAGGGAGTTTGCTTAAAGTAATCCCTAGTGGCTAAATTGTGTCAATTAAGCATCAATATTAAATACCTTATAATTAAGTGAAATTTGCCTAGATTGTAAAAGGCCATAAATTCATCTGAGTCAAATGTGTTAAAATGTAACACACAAATATGTAGACATGATAGATGAAAATAAGTATAAAGTGTAAATTTATATATACCAACGTAAAGTTATATACATTCCCAATAGTTATAAAGGCATATAAATATGTCTATAGGTGTGTATATGTAGTTTGGATAGATGGAAGGATAGGTAGGCAGGTAGACAGACGGACAGAGATCTTCTCTCTCTCAGGTCTTCACTCAAAAGTTAACTTCAGAAGGGGCCTTCCCTGGCTCCCCACCCCTTCCTTCATCTTTTTCTCCTTAGAATTTACTCACTTATATATTTTACTTACACATCTTTTTCATTGTCTTCCTCATTAGAAATTAGCTCTCTGAAGGCAGAAATTTTTTGTCTGTTTGGTTCACTGCTGTATCTCCATTGCTTAGATTAGAACAAAGCCTGGCACACACTAGGCACTTAATACAAAAAATTTAAATGAAATATGCATCTTCAGATAACACATACACACACATAAACAGAAATCTCCAGATGGTACTAATAACAATCAAATATTAATAAAGCATAAATTTTCACTAATGCTAAGAGATCAGGTCAATCGATCACAAGACAATGGGTTGTAGAGTGGAAGACAAAATTTAGCACCTCATTGTAAGGAGAAACATTGCAAAATACAAAAACTTATGCTAAAGACATGGGTATAAAAGATTTTATCAACATTACAAGCGAAGTTTAACCATATAAACAGAGAATGAACCAGTGCCTTAGGTTTTTGTCACTCTAGAGGATGAAATCAGGTGCCATACTTAGATCAAAAATCAATTAGTAACTGGGCACAGTGGCTCACCCCTGTAATCTCAGCACTTTGGGAGGCCTCTAATTCCATGAGGCCGAGGTGGACAAATCACTTCAGGCCAGTTCAAGACGAGCCTGGGCAACATGGCGAAACTCCGACTGTACAAAAAAACACAAAACTTAGCCAGGTATAGTGGAGCATACCTGTAGTCCCAGCTACTCAGGAGGCTGAGGTGGGAGGGTCACTTGAGCCCGGGAAGTTGAGGCTGCAGTGAGCCATGATTGTGTCACCGCATTCAGCCTGGGTAACAGAGTGAGACTCTGTCTCAAAAAAAAAAAAAAAAAAATCAGTTAGTGAGCAACTCAGACTCTTTACTGGTCTGAGTCATTCTTCTTCAAGTTTGGTAAGTTTACTGTAACCTTGTGAAACTTTCTGAAATAAATTATTACTTACTGCTTGGAAATTACAAAAATAAATATCCCCCATACTTCCAGGAAATACAATTTAAAAATAAAGAAATGATGACATGAATTAAGCTTATAATATTAATGTTTTAGATTAGATGTAACGTAAGTTTGGAAATATTTTATAATCATATTGTTTCTGTTCAAGGTTTGAAGTACTGAGTCACTAAATCTGTATTTTCAGCTGTTTAAAGGGAATTTGAATATTTATGAAAAATAATTTTCAGATTTTTATTAAAGTACAAATTGAATATTAAACAAATTATATGCACATATAAATCCTTCATTCCTTCCTCATTCATTTGTTCTGGTATGTTTTTATAGAAGTTCTTCAGGCAATGCCCAATATTCTTACTGTTCAAGATGGCCCAGCTACCATATCACCAGTTTATTTCCCTACATCCATTCAGATAAAAAAGAAATGTATTTTCTCACAATTTCATCTTCCTCATTACTCCCAATAATGGAAATTATTTAGTCTCTAACAATTTTAGGCATTAACTGCTTTGCTTTTACCATCTGTTCAAAACAACTCATTCTATCTGCCAGCAATATCTTTGTCTGATATCTCCAGCTGCAAAGAAGTTGTCCATAAAGTTCTTAAACCAAATTTAGAGCCCACCCACAAGAGACCTCGTTTACAATTTTATTATATTTTGCCACAGAATATGTTTAGACCCATACTGAAAGAAGAAAATTAAGGTGCTCCTTCAAAATGAAGAGCCATTCATTACACAAATGAAGCCATTATTCTCTTAGCTTTACAGTCTCTCTTTACAGGCATATGGTGACTCACTGTGACAAATGATTTTAACTCCTTAAGGGAGAGCCTGTTAGAGAATTTTACTTGGTGAATTTTATAACAGTCATCCATATTGTGAAAAAAACTAAGAAACACTAAAATAATTTATCGACAAGTAAAATCTAACAATTATCTCAGCTTTGTGGAGGCTGTATATTCAACTTTCATCAACTTGTTATAAGTTTTCTCTTCAGAATAAACAACTATGCCATGTAAAAATTAAGGCTTTCTCATATGTATAGCAAACACAGAATGTGTGAATCAGTACTCTAATTTCATGAGGCAAAATCTAATCCAAATTAAGCAAAAAAAAAAAAAAAGAAATTTATTGGATCACAAAAAAAAGAAAAAGGATGGCGCAGCTGTCAAGAATGGCTGGATCCAGGAGATCAAACAGTATCATCAGATTTCCGCCTCTCTGCTCCATTTTCCTGTTAGATTTCTCTTTGGGAAAGCTTTCCTCATGAGTGGCAAAAAGGCTACTGGTGAGTTTTTAATCTTATTAAATCCTTGAAACTTGCCATTGCAGAAAAAATTCTCTCTTACTACCCATAGCAATAGCCCCAAAGGACTTCGCTGATCCACAAAGAGCCATCTGCCAATCCCGTATCACTAGGTTGCGGGATATGATTGGCCAGCCTGTGACCAATCACGCCTGTAATGCCACACTTTGGAAGGCGGAGGTGGGTGGATCACCTGAAGTCAGGAGTTTGAGACCAGCCTAACCAATATGGTGAAACTCCATCTCTACTAAAAATACAAAAATTAGCCAGGTATGGTGGTGGGCACCTGTAATCCCAGCTACTCAGGAGGCTGAGGCAGGAGGATTGCTTGAACCCAGGAGGTGGAGGCTGCAGTGAGCCAAGATGGCACCACTGCACTCCAGCCTGGGCAACAGAGCAAGACTCTGTCTCAAAACACAAAACAAAACAAAACAAAAGTAATGGACATCTACTAATGAATTACTTCAAATAATACTCATAAACTGAAATATGAACTACATGCAAAGAATTACTAACCAAAAAGAACTCACTAATTTTCAATAAGGACTGATGGCAACCCAATGTTTTCTTTCCTCTATTTGTTATAATCAGAGTGTTTCTCTATTATGAATTCTCTGATGTCGTCTAAGGGCTGAGACACAGCTAAAATTATTCCCACATTCATTACATTTATAAGGTTTTTCTCCAGCATGAATTCTCTGGTGTAGCCTTAGGGACAAGATCTGATGAAAAGCCTTCCCACATTCATTACATTCATAGGGTTTCTCTCCAGTATGAATTCTCTGATGGTGATTAAGATAAGAGCCGCAACTGAAAGCCTTCCCACATTTGTTACATTCATAGGGCTTCTCTCCTGCATGACTTCTCTTGTGGTGAATTAGAACTAAAGCATCACTGAAGGCTTTCCCACATTTACTGCATTCAAACGGTCTCTCTCCAGTATGAATTCTATGATGCCGATTCAGTTGTGAGTCAGTCCTAAAAAACTTCCCACATTTGATGCACTCATAGGGCTTTTCTCCGGTATGAATTCTCTGATGTTGATTCAGGTGTGAGCGATAGCCAAAGGTCTTCCCACATTCACTACATTTGAAAGGTTTCTCTCCTGTGTGAATTCTTTGATGCAGAGTAAGGGCTATGCGTCTGCTGAAGGCTTTTCCACACTGATTACATTCATAGGGTTTCTCTCCAGTGTGGATCCTCTGATGTTGGTTAAGGTGTGCACTCTGTCGGAAGGCTTTGTTACATTCCTTACATTCATATGGTTTCTCACCTGTGTGGATTCTCTGATGTTCAATGAGGAAGGCATAACGGCTAAAGGCCTTCCCACATTCATTGCATGCAAACGGTTTCTCTCCAGTGTGGATCCTCTGATGTTGAGCAAGGTGTGCACTCTGTCTGAAGGCTTTGTTACATTCCTTACATTCATAAGGTTTCTCCCCAATATGAGTTCTTTGATGTTCACTGAGAAAGAAGTCATGGCTAAATGCTTTTTCACAGTCATTGCATGCATATGGTTTCTCCCCACTGTGAATTCTCTGAGGTTGAGTCAAGAACGAGTAACAGCTAAAGGCATCACCACATTCATCATATCCATGGGGTAACTTTCCAAAATGAGTGGTCTGATGTTGAGTAAGTAATGAGTGGAAACTTAAGAGATTTGAAAAATCATTACTTTCATAATGTTTCTCACTAAGAGGAATTCCTATATCTTTACTAAAGTATGTACTCTGGTTGAATTCTTCACATTCATTACCTATCAAAGATTCCTTCTCAGCACAGAGGCTTTTATATGCAATTATGACTGAATTTTGGGGGAAGATTTTATCATAAATATCAAATTTATGTACTTGCTGTATGGTAGGAACTTTCTGTTGTCTTAAAAATACTGATTTCAGGGGTGTGCTTCTCCCAGAATCACTATATTCATTGTCTCTTTCCCCAGTAGAGATTTCCTTAATCACTTGCATGAAAGGCTTCTCCTCATTTCCCTGATGTAGCTCAAATTCACCCTCGTATTTCCAGGCTTCTCTGAAACTGCAGTGGTCAAGGCCATGACTTGCTAGCCTTTCCATTACCACCTCCTGGGATATTTCATCTTCATCAGTGAACCATTTTGGAGACAATTCCTTGATTTCACACCAAGACTCCCAGTCTGAAAAACATCAAGAAAGCAAGTATCTCCTTTGTTCTTTTGCTGCGAGGAAGAAAACCGTTAGAGAAGAAATGGAAGAATTTAACCGGGGGGAAGGAGGGTAGAAAGTACGTGGTTCTAACATCTCCTAAATGTGGCCATGCAATATGAACAAAAGAGAATGGAAACACAAAGAATAACGAGAGCTGAGAACGAAGGTGTATGTGTTGCTGATGGGGAGGTGGAAGTTGGGGAAACTGGTAAAATGCAGGTCATCAAAAAGCAGGCAAAGCTAAATGCTAACAAGGTACGGAATTGAGGATGTCTGATTAGATCACAGCCAGTTTCCCTGCCTCTAGTCTTTAAAGCCTCCAGTCCCTCCTGCACTGGAATTCATAAGACTGAAAGCTCCATGAGGGCAGGCACTGACGTTCACTCCCTTTTCTTCTACTGTTGCATCCAATGCCTCGGACAATGTCAGCATATTGTTAAATGAATGACTGCTGCCAGATTAATTTCATAACAACTTTTCCCACTAATGCTATTCAACAACTAAGATTTCTATCAGGGTCCAGGAGAGACTTATATATATATATATTTTTCCCAGTGATTACAAGAAACCTCATGGTCAGCTTTTCTCATCATTGAGGGAAAATGATGATACTGAGAAGATATGTGCTTTCAGGAGAGGATATTGGTTGGGGTAAGGCAGAAAGAAAACTATTTTTTAGAAGATGATCTCAAAAAATGAGAAAGTCGGCCGGGCGCGGTGGCTGAAGCCTGTAATCCCAGCACTTTGGGAGGCAGAGGCGGGTGGATCACGAGGTCAAAAGATCGAGACCATCCTGGTCAACATGGTGAAACCCCGTCTCTACTAAAAATACAAAACATTAGCTGGGCGTGGTGGTGCGTGCCTGCAATCCCAGCTACTCAGGAGGCTGAGGCAGGAGAATTGCCTGAACCCAGGAGGCGGAGGTTGCGGTGAGCCGAGATCGCGCCATTGCACTCCAGCCTGGGTAACATGAGTGAAACTCCGTCTCAAAAAAAAAAAAAAAAAAAAAAAAAAAATGAGAAAGTCCTTTTCGTACCACAATAATCAGCCAATATATTCAAATATATGAACCTACTAGTAGGCCCCCAGTACCTAACAGATGGGGGGGAAGCCTGACACAGGGTCTTTCTACCCTTTGTAGATTCTGAGAGCTCAAGCCTGTGCATATGATTATTCCCTATGGCACGTAATGAAGGACGAGCTAATATGTGATAGATTATTAGAGGTATAAACTTCAGGAAAAAAGAGATCAAAACTCACGAGCTTAGTTAAGGAATAATTCTTGGAGAACATGAGCTCCATTTTCAAGGCTGTAATCAGGATTCCGAAACTTAGTGACTATTTCAGTAACAGAGACGTTTTCATGTTTAGATGGGGTTAAGGATTATTTTACAACTACCTATTTTGGCATTAGGAGTTAAATAGATACAGTATTTGCCATAACAGTTTCCCATCTGTTGAAAAGTAAAGCTGTCTCCAGTATAGGTCAGAAGAAAATTGAAAAGAAAATATTATTCAACTGCATCTTTCTTCTTTCCAATACACCCTTCACCCAAGGAAAGCCCTCAGCCCTATCAGTCTGTCCTATACACAGCCTTGGATTTTCTTACCAGGGCCCCGTCTACACCCAGGCCTGAGAGGATTTGTTTGCCTATCCTTGGTTAGGATTCATTCATTCATTCATTCATTCTTTCTTTCTTTCTCTAGAAATACAACTACTTCTGTTCCCTCACTCACTTGCCTGGATCTCATCTCTTATATACATCAACTGAAGCCGCTCTATTCATCTTACCAAAATAAGTCTTTACTCCAGGCAAACAGCAGATTTATACAATAACTATCTTAATGCTGAATAAAAGAAGCCTGATGGGAGAAGACTACAGATATTTTCCAATATGGGGGACTCTGAAGTGCCTGGAGCTCCAGCCACTGTCTTTACACATAGACTTACAGTTTGGATCCCCTTGATTAAAAGACTGCATACAGCTATGCTATCCAATATGATAGCCACTAAGTATATGTGGCAATTCAAATTTAAATAACATTTTAAAATTAGTCCCTCAGTCACACTAGCCACACTTTTAAGCACTCTAAGACAAATGTGGCTAGTGGCTACTGTATTAGAAAGCACACATGTAGATTATTTCCATCATCACAGAAGGTTCTACTAGAGGCCAAGCATGGGGTCTCTGCCTGTAATACCAGCACTTTGGAGGCCGATGTGGGTGGATCACTTGAGCCCAGGAGTTCAAGGCCAGCCTGGCCAACATGGTGAAACACCGTCTCTACTGAAAATACAAAAATTAGCCGGGTGCGATGGCTCACACCTATAATCCCCGCTACTCAGGTGGCTGAGGCATGAGAATCGCTTGAACTGGGAGGCAGAGGTTGCAGTGAGCTGAGGTCATGCCACAGCATTCCAGCCTGGGCAACAGAGTATGACTCCTTCTAAAAAAAAAAAAAAAAAAAAAAAAAGGAAAGAAAGAAAGAAAGTTCTACTAGACAGAACTGGACAGAGATCCGCATTAATATTACAAAAATCTTATGGCAAATGAGGAAACAACAGAAAAACAGGGAAAAGAGTCCGTTAAAGGGAGAGAACTGAGCTTTGAAAAGAGAAAATGGATAGTGGTAAGAACTCTCTCATACATCTCAGTAAGCTAAGGAATATGAAAATGAAGAAGGGCACCTGGATTTAGCTCAACTAGAGGGGCAGAAGCCAGACTGCAAGTGATAAGACAGTGGAAGAGAACCTGAGGTGCAGGCAGTGAGTTAAGATTACAACTGCTGTGTAAATAATTGAAGGGAGAGGGAAGCATGATTCGCAAGAATACGAGAAAAGTCCTACAAAACGTTACGAAATTCTTTTAAGTAAGATTTATATGAACCAATGTAATATATAATCGCACCAAAACAAAAAATATATATGCATACCTTTTTACCACAGGCTAATTTATATCAGGTCAGTTTCAACCAGAATTCCATAAAGATTTTATTTCCAAATTTAAAGAAAATTATTTTAAAGAAACTTGGACAAAAATAATCAATAATATAAAAGAAAATTATGAACAAAAAAGAACATTCCAAAACCAGTAATATGACCTCAGTCCTTGCATTTTTATACCTTTCTTCCATCGAAATCTCTGTGAGAGAACTCGACCAGGGTTGACTTGTAAAATTCTCTATCATTGTGGAAAATATCAAGAGAGAATATCAACAGAAACACTTGGAGCATTAAAAACTTGTAAGATACAGAGAACACAGTGAAGGAGAGCATGACCTCCTCACTGCAATCCTGACCACATCTGGTTGAAGGGAATGAATTTGACATTAACCTTAAAAACATGTGAGTGGGAGAAAATACCACAAAGTCAAAAGGCCAGGGACAATCTGAGAAAAAACAACTAAAACATGTAGCATAGAAACAGGAATAATGCATAGAATTTAGTTCTACTATAAATCAACAAGAAAAAGACAACCTAATTCTCCAAAAACGGAAGTATGCCAGTAATCCCAATAGTTTGGGAAGCCGAGATGGGAGGATCGCTTCAGCCCAGGAGTTCTAGACCAGCCTGGACAACACAGTAAGACCTTGTCTCTACAAGAAAAATAAACAAAAAAATTAAGCAGGTACAGTGGTGCATTACACTGAGGTGGGAAGATTGCTTGAGCTCAGGAGGCAGAGGCTGCAGTGAGCCAAGGTCATGCCACGGCACTCCAGCCTGCACAACAGAGTGAGAACCTGTCTCAAAAAAATATATGAGCACAGAAGACAAAAACTTCATAGACAATGCATTCCTGGAAAGATGATCAATAATATCACTAGTAAATTAAAGCCAAAAGAGCATTTCCCTTCCTCATATCAGCAGAAATTTCAGTTAGACAATATTAAGGACAATATCAAAAACTTAAGGCCAGGTGTGGTGACTCACATCTGCAATTCTAGCACTTTGGGAGGCTGAGGCAGGCAGATTCCCTGGGCTCGGGAGTTTGAGACCAGCCTGGGCAACACGGTGAAACCCCATCTCTACAAAAATGCAAAAAAAAAAATTAGCCAGGTGTGGCAGTGTGTGCCTGTAGTCCCAGCTACTCAAGGGGCTGAGGCAGGAGGATCACTTGAACCCAGGAGGCAGAGGTTGCAGTGAGCCAAGATCGCGCCACTGCACTCCAGCCTGGGCACAAGAGTGAGACTCGGTCTCTAAAGAAATAAAAACAAACAAACAAACAAAACCTAAGTTGAAGAATATCAAGAGAGGAAGGAAAAGGCATTCTCAGACACTATCATCGTTAGTACGAGCATAAACTGATACAGTCACTTCCCAGAACAAGTTGGGTATCTTGTAAATTAAAACATACACTTCCATGTTCCAGCAATTTGACTTTGAGGTACAAATTTCTTTTCTTTTCTTTTCTTTTTTTTGAGACAGGGTCTTGCTCTGTAACCCAGCCTAGAATGGAGTCCAGTGGCACTGTCACAGCTCAATGCAGCCTTGACCTCCCAGGATTAAGTAACCCTCCTACCTCAGTCTCCCAAGTAGCTCAAACAATAGGCACACAGCAACATGCGAGGCTAATTTTTTTTTTGTCCGAGATGGATTCTTGCTCTGTTTCCCAGGCTGGAGTGCTGTGGCGTGAACTCGGCTCACTGCAACCTCCACCTCCCAGGTTCAAGCAATTCTCCTGCCTCAGCCTCCTGAGTAGCTGGGATTACAAGCACACACCACCATGCCTGGCTAATTTTTATTAAAGATGGGGTTTCACCATGTTGGCCAGGCTGGTCTCAAACTCCTGACATCATGATCCACCTCGGCCTCCCAAAGTGCTGGGATTACAGGCATGAGCCACTGCACTCGGCCTGTTTTTTTACTTTCTGTAGAGACAGGGTCTTGCTATGTTGCTCAGGCTGATCTGAAACTCCTGGGCTCAAGCAATCCTCCCAACATGTTGAGATCACAGGTGTGAGCCATGC